GGTGGGAGAGAGAGGATCCTAAGCAGGCCCCGTGCTGTCCGCGCAGAGCCCGACGCGGGGCTCGATCTCACAGAGATCACAACCTGAGCCGAAATCAGGAGTCGGACGCTCGACCGACTGAGCCACCCGGGCACCCAGCAAACATTTCTTGAGCTCCTATTGTGTTCCAGGCTCTCAGTGAGGCACTCTATGTGCTATTATCTCATTTAATCCTTAAAATAACCTACGGGGTAGGGATTCTTGTGGTTCTCCTCCGGAAGAGGAGCCCAGGGACAGAGCAGTAGCATAAATGTTACTGTCACAGAGGGTAAACCCAGCCAGGTTTGGCCACAGAGGTTACTCTCCTCAGAACAACACCTGGGGTATGATGGTGGCAAAAAGGGGCACCTGAGGACCCCCGGCCACCACCACGGGGCCAGAGACCGCTTTAGAACAGGTGCAGCCCTGAGCGCAGCAGGCCCCCCATTTTCCACGGGCCAAGTGGCCACCACTCTGGGAGCGGGATGGGGGCAGGGGTGAGCTCTCAGCTCTCAGTGCCAAGGGCAGAAGCAGTGAGGGGAGGGAGTTGGGGACTTCTCTGTAGGGCCTGGCTGTGGGCCACATCAGTTACCTGTTCCTGAGAGCCCCATTACTGGGTTGGTGAGCACCAGTTAGGACCTTGTTAAAGTTGGCCATGAAGGAGGACGGGTGATTGGAAGCAGCTCCCTGTGTGGGTCAGTGTCCTGGGTCCGGGGTTCAGGGCAAAGCCGTTTTGTGGTTGACATCACCCCTCAGTCTCCCTGCCACCGCCCCCCTCCCTTCCAGCCCAGCCTCTCTGTTCCCCTTCCCCTAGGCCCAGGCAGTGCCTTCTCCGAAATGTGAAGTTAATTGTGAGGGGGTGGGATGGAGCCCCTGGCCTGATGAGGGAGAGGCAGCCTGCCCCAGGGGAAAGATCCGGACACACCTCAGTCTAATCCTGGAGCTTCTGGACTTTGGACAAATCTCTCTCCCTCTCTTCAGCCTCAGTTTCCTCGTCTGGAAAATGGGGCCGATCCCACCGACTCGTGGATGGTCTGCCCCCTTGTGGGGCTGGTAGGAAGACCTGAATTTCTGTCCTGCCCTCCCAGGTGGGAGAACAGAGAGCTGCTGGGAAATGCGCATCTTGCTTGGGGAAGGTGGCACATTGTCACGGGGGTGGGGTGGGGGGGGGTGGTTTGGATCTAAGCGCTGGCTGCTTTGAGGGCTCAGCCAGAGCTATCCTGGGCCATGTCACTGAGGCCTCTGGATCCCTTGGGACTCGTGTAGGGCTTGTGTTTCAGGAGGCTTCAGATGCTGCCGGCCAGCTCGCCCTGCCTTGGTTGGGTGGACTGAGTATTTTTAGCTCTGAGTTTGCAAAGGTTTTTTTTTTTTTCCTGCCCAGACTTCTCTTGTGGGACAAAACAGACAGCCCACTCCCTGAGAGAGGCAGAGCTTGGGCCTGAAGGGACACGGCTGGAGCCAGAGTGGACTCTAGTGGGCTTTGAAAGGGAGGCCTCCCCCACTGTCCGCGGCCCGCCAGCCTATGCCGCAGCGCTGGGCTGTGCCCCTGCAGCCGCGCTGGAAGCTGCCTGCCCCTTCCTTGGAAAGCCGCACGCGTCCCAGGGTCTCCCACCTGCCTGCTGGAGTGGCTGGGGGGGGGGTGGCCCTTGGCGCCCTGGGGTCCTGTCCCCTCTCCTGGTCACATGCCTCTGACTCATCAGAACAAGAACGTGGTCTTTTTGGGAGCGAGTTTTTAAAAATAGTCCAAGTCTTCCCTCCTGCCCTGCCCTACCCCTCTTGTGATCACACCCTGGCGTTGGCCCCAGACCTCTTTCCACACTGGTTTTGGGGAACCGGCTCTTGCACAGCTTGGCAGCAGGTTCGATTGGGAAGCTCTCCTGGGAGGAGCTGTCCCGGCCACGTGCTGACTTCAGAGAGGGAGGCACAGTCCTAGGAGCAGGTGTCCCGTGGGCCTTGGCCCCTGTCTCCCCTCCCCTGATGGTGACGGTGGGCCTGACCCCGGGGCCGGCGTGGGACCAGGGATCCCTTTATTGACTTAGCAGGTGTGTGTTGAGGCGTGCTGGGGGCCAGGCACTGCCCCGGGGCTGTGGATGGAGCAGTGAACAAAATGCTAATTCTCTTGCCTCTGTCGAGTGCACGGTCCGGTAGGAGGAAACTGATAGAGGCAACCGAAACGTTCAGATGTCCAGAGGTGTTAAATGCTATGAAGGCAGGGCAGCGGCGTGAGGGGGATATGTGTGTACTATTTTAAAGAGGATGGATGGGGAGGGCCTCTCTTTGAGCAGAGCCCTGGAGCAGGTGACAGAGCCATCCATGTGTATGTCTGGGGGAAGAGCGTTCCAGGCAGAGGAAACTGCAAGCGCAAAGGTCCTGAGGTAGGAACGTGCATGAGGCGTCTGAGGAACTGCACGACGGTCCTTGTGACTGGGGTAGGGTAAGCTGTGTGGAGACTGGTAGGAGCTGCAGTTTGGGGTCGGGGGCACACCAGGTAGGGCCTTGTGGGGACCCTGGCTTCCATTCTGAACGAGGTAGGAAAGCACTGGAGGGTTCGAGCAGCGGTGTGCCTGGGTTGCCGTGTCGTGAACAAAGTGCGTGGGGCGGGGGGGGGGGGGAAAGGGGAAACAGGAGACCGGTCTGGGGCTGTTCTAATGGTCCAGGTGAGAGGCGGTGACAGTTTGGCCCAGCGTGGCGGCAGAGGAGATGGTGAGAAGTCATCGGAGTCTGGATGCATTTAGAAGGCAGACCAACAAGGTTTGCTGAGGGGTTGGGATGTGGCTGTGGGAGAGAGAAGGGGTCAAGGCGAGGCGGAGGCTTGAGCTCCAGCCCCCCCCCGCAAGCTGGCGCCGCCATCGGGTGAGATGGGCGGCCGAGGAGGAGTCGGGTGGCCGTCGGGAGCTGGGACGGATGTTAACTTCAGGGTGCCCCGCTGTCCGCGGAGCAGGCCGGTGGGGAGAAGGTCAGGCTGGAGGTGTCACTGCAGAAACGGTCTCCAAAACCGAGAAACAGGCGCGGTGGCCCAGGGAGGCATCTTCGAGTCAGGCCCGAGTCATGAGCCTGGCGGTAGCCCAGTGGTCCCGTGGGAGGAAAGGGGGCTGGGAGAGGAGCCCCGGAGAGGGAGGAGAGCAGAGAGAGGGTTGCAGGAAGGGAGAGATGGGCTCCACAGTGGGGGCAGATACCCCTCCTCCCACCCACGTGGTTCCGCAGAGAAAGGGAGCGGGTCCCGGACAGGGGTTGCAGGTAACGCTTGCACAAGGGGAGCAGGGGAAGCTGGTGGTGGGTGGAGGAGATCAGGGAGGTTTGTTTATTTACTGATTGATTTATTCATTTACTTATTTACTTATTTATTTAGAGAGCAAACGAGCGAGGGAGGCGCAGACAGGGAGCGCGCGGGAGAATTCTAAGCAGGTTCCGCACGGACGGCACAGAGGCCGCCTGATGCGGGGCTTGAACTCAACAAACCCGTGAGATCATGACCTGGGCCGAAATCCAGAGTTGGACATTTAATGGACGGAGCCACCCGGGCGCCCCTCTTAGTGCCCGTTTGTTTATTTAGAGGGTGAGGGGCAGGGGAGGGGGAATCCCAAGCAGGCCCCTCCCTGTAAGCACGGAGCCCGACGTGGGGTTCAGACCCACAAACTGTGAGATCATGAGCTGAGCCGAGATCAAGGCTCGGACGCTTAACCGACTGAGCCACCCAGGCGCCCCCGTGTTTTAATTTTTAAGAAGGGCGGTCACGCAGCATCTTTGTGGTGGCGGGGCGTGACCCGGGAGAGAGGAGCTGAGGTTCTCCTGGCTGTGTCATCTTCTCCCCAGAAGGACCACCTCCCTCCTCACAAACCCTCCCTCCCCCCTCCCTCCCCCAGCCCCCAAGTTCCTCCCCTTCTGACATCAGCTCAGGGTCCAGGGTCTTGTTGTCTAAGCGGGGGTCGACATGAGGAAGGTGCCGGGGTTCCCCCATCGGGAGGCCCGTGGGGCTGTGAGCGCCCGGGGTGGGACAGGCCAGGGGAAGGGCCACTGCCCTCCTCGCGGAAGGCGGGAAGCAGGAGGCACACGGCCGGTCTGGAGCCCTGCTGGAATCCAGCCGTGTGAAACCACCTCCCTGACCGAACCCCGACTTCCCTGCTTGGGGAAGTCAGTCCCCTGCATCCCGAGGGAGGGGGGTGGCATGCCGGGCACCAGAGGGGGGATGCCCACTGGGTACAGGTCAGGAACCAGGACGCCGCCCTCAACTCCAGCCCCCCGGGCTGGGAGGTCGGGGCTGCCGGTGTGGAGGGGGCCGGAGCCGTGGGCCGGCTCCCATCTGTGGTGTTTGGGGAGCCGGGCGCCGAGTCTCCTGGGGGCTGTCTGTCGTGTCGTAACGAGTCGCACCTTCTGGCGAGTTCCTGGGCGCGCCACGCCACGTGGCAACGTTCGTTACCTTGTTCGTGGCTCATCTTAACCCGAGGTGCCCCCCTCCCCGCAGTGCATACGCAGCTAAGCAAGTTCTGGCAAATACTGGAGCCAGGACCCCCGCCCCAGGCTCTGATCTGGAATGAAACGTGGGCCCGGAATCCGCTGGGCTTCTGTGGGATCGCTGCCTGGCGGGAAATGCGGGCTCGGCACCCCCCTTCCGTGCTCAGGGAGCCTCCTGCCCTGCAGGTGCGGGTACAGGCGGGCCTCTCCTTTGTTCCTTTGTCCCTTTGTCCCCAGGCCCCAGCTGCCCCCCCTTCCCTGGCAGGCAGTAGGTGACCAGTGAAATGTTTGTTGAGTGGGGGATGGGCGAACACCGGCACTGTCACTGGGAAAGTTGCTGGAGGTGAGCCTGACCCCGCCCCCCGCCCCCGCTTTCACCTGCGCGCTCACCCCATTTCCCATGGAGGGGCCCTTCCCTGGAAGCCCCAGCTCCCCCAGCCTGTCTGGAGGCCTGGGCTATTTCTGCAGCCCGGACCGTCAATCCTTCCCCTACGTCAGCTTTGTCAACTTGGGTGGAGTCAGGCACACCTTCCTTTCCTGGTCCCGCCTCGTGCTCCCCGCTGACGTCAGGCAAAGGCTTTGCCGATCTGAGCCTCAGTTTCCCGTCTCTCAAAGACCGGGAAAGAAGCCCACCTCTCAGGTTTGGTGCTGGCATGGAAATGCCCCGCCTCTAGACT